TATTCTCATCCTATTTTAGGATTTTAATTTGTGAATACTTTCGTATTGAAGCAGTTTCTTTGAAACTCCTTAATTGCACCTGGTCTTGCTCACGCTAACTATAACTGACTGACTGTGATGCTCTCAGCTCACACACCTCTGCTCACTATATATCACTGTATATACACAGCCCTACAAATACAGACATTCAATCTGCACCACGAAGTTCATGTTTCTTATATTTAGCACAACAATATCTCACTCACCTTACACTGGCTCTTCTCTTTGCACTACCACTACTGGGTTATAGTGTACATAATGTGTACTGTATATACTATGTACATAAACAGTATATAGTATAGATAGTGTTTGTATTTAACAACTAGTGATTACAAGGAAGAATAAGAACGTGATTTCCTTTCAGCTCTACACTTCTGTCCTTGTCTCCATCTGGGACAGACAGATTAATTAAATCATAATCAAGGTTTCATATCACGCATAGCAGCAAAATGTTCAGTGTATCTGTATTCTCAGTGTTAGTGGCATTAAGATCCTCTTTCATTTGAATTTTTCACCAAGTTCCGTCAATTCATTCTGCATTTTCCTGGTTAAAAATGCTTTTTCACGCAACGTGTTAGTAATGAAGCCATCTCAGAGTTCACTGGAGACCTTGGCATTTCACTGTTTACTCAATGCGAAAGTCAAACAGGGCGGCGACTTTATGCTTCAAAGAGATCGGAGTGTGTCTCTGATTTCGCTTCTTCAATCAAATGAATCACTTTCTCAACTGCACACAAAGCAACACGACCCTTGAACCTGCCACATACTGCTTTCAGGCAGAGAGACACGCGCATAATGGTATTTAATAATACGCTTCAAAGTCCAATGTTATTTACTCCTCCGCCTTGTTACACTAGTCCACGTAAACATCGGCATCCGCACTAACATCTGATATACTAGAAAATAATCATCGTGTATTTACTGTGGTCTGTCTCAGTGGAGAGAAAAACAACAACTAAACACACCGTTTAATTGGCATTGAACCTTTAATCGCTATCATTTATGTATGATAATTGGTGTGATTTATTATGAATTATATAATTTTGTATTTTCATATTGTTTCCTAATTAGTGGGTAGAGAGGAAGAGATTCTCCAGAACAAATACTTCGGTACAAATTCAAGACAAGTATGATGTATTTCAGGGAAGAAACTAAACTGGTGTGAATGTGCAATCTTACCTTACATATTGAAAGGCTCTTGTTTGGGCACCAGTACCGTACACCTAGAACAGCAACAGAAATGGATTATCATTTCTGCATAGTGCACATACTGAAGGATATGAACATGTGTTGCCATGCATAAAACAATACACTTCTACTCAGAAGACTTTATTTTTTCTATCATGATCAGGTCTACTTGAGTATTTTTGTCACGTTCAAATTATTAGAACTCAAAAGATCATCGCAATTTGGGTTTTTTAATTTTACCTAAATCTAAATTAAAAAAGATTGTATTATCAGTTGCTTAAAAATGATTTGCTATTAAATCATATTTAAGATGTTCATATAGCTCATAACACTAAACGGATCTAGATTAGGAGCACCGAGGTGTCTAACCTTTCAGTTAAATCATGTTCAAATAAATTAGCTTTTATACAATTTAAGATGCATAAAACAGTAAATCCATCAGCAGACTGAGGCTATTTCAATGTGTACATCCTCACACCGCTAGTCCTGGGGAAAGACAACAAGCCAAAGACTTTTTGTCTTTTTCTAAAGGCACCTAATAAACGGGTAGAAACGTTAATTGCGTACAGTGAGAGGTTCTCCCTGTAGAGCCTGCAGGATGAAGTTGCTGACGACTCGTCCATCGTTCATGTGCATTCGGGAGCCAAACGTGTTGAAGATTCTTGCCACCCTCACCTCTACTCCTTCCTGTGAGCAAAGAAACAAGAATGTGGGCGAGTCATTAGTAATTTATCAACTTTGTTGTTCCTTGGTTTTAATACTTATGTTGATTGCTTGGTATATTTACTGCAGTTTTGTACTTTATATGTTGTATTTTCTTTTTATGGGAATACAAAGCCTGGCAGGTACACACAGAAACCACAGCCAGTAGAGCTAGAATGCTAATCTGGACGACACCAGTAAATTAGCTGTTGAAAGTCAAGATATATAAGCTGAATAAACCGTCTAAACGGGCTGACAAAACATATCCTGCATATCATGTAAAGCATTAATTATAGAGTCTGACAAATGTATGCACAATTCAGTCAACACTCAGCAATAGAGTGAACCTTTTACCTTGAACCAGATATGTCTTTGTTACCCATTTATGGACAAAACCATCTCCTACTTCGTTGAAATGTGTTCTCCGACTTGATAGCTGGATTCAAATAGCCAATTATTTGTCAATCAAACCCTTTTGATCGGTAGGAGTTACCCCACAGATGTAGAACTAGTCTATGTATACAGTTTCACAAACAATCATTTGTACCACAGGCTCCCTTAGCTATGAGCGAAGTGTAATAATTACATTCTTTGACTGGGAAGCAAAGTCTGAATACCAGGCAAGTATGACAGAAGGATCTCCTTACACACTCCAACAAAGAATGAATACATGAGGCCAACTACATCATGGACACACACACTGATCCCACATATATAGAAAACTCTATGGCCTTCATAAATCAGCCTCATGCATCAATACATGCTACTTCAGATGAGCTCTGAATCCATTTTAAGTCATAGAACATGAATAAAAACATGGAAATTATGTAGATTGTTCTCTTGAAAATATGGAACATGAAATTCGATGGTCACAACCAACAAATATATTCACTATAGTGAAGAACAAGGACACAGAGAGCACAACATGAAGAAGCGGTCTTAGAAGGCAGTGTACACATACCTGGGTGGGTTGTTTCAGTCTTAAAACACATCAGTATTGACCTCATTTAGCAAGTCACCAATAATGGTTAATAACCATAATAATAATTACCTTAAGGGATCAGCTTAAAGCAGTAAGTCAATAACAGGTTGAATTTATGAACGTTTTTAGTAACTATAATCGTATTGCTTGCCACTACACAGGAATGTGCCATTTAAATCCTGCACATCTGTGTGTTTGCTAGGAAAGGCCATTACTTAATGACCGCAGCGAAACATTCTGAGTTCTGACAAAATGAAGCAGATTTGGCATTGAAGTCAAATCTGATAAAAAATGCTATCAAACACCATTTAACAGGCTCTACGCGGTCTGTGGTTAGAAAACCTGCATACACAGCAGTAATGAGGGACAGGTTGAAATGTGTGCCAAACGTCTGGTCCACTAATGAGAAAACGTGCAGTCTATTCACATCTCCTGATTTGATTTTGAATGTTGGGAATGCACGAAACAACATGACGGGTTGAAGTCAAGGTAAAACTCATAACACGAAACAAGTCGATAGTTGGGACCACCAGCATCAGTTAGAACACCGATACTGGCGCTGGCTAGCTGTGGTGGTCCGAAGGTCTTCTTGCTGTCGAGCAAAACAACTCTCTGCTCTTTTCATTTATGCACATTTAAATGCTTCATTAAATCTGGTGTATCACGAGTCTTTGAAGAATCTACATCTGCACATACACGTGTATGTATGTATATATATATATATATATATCCACAAGGATATGGAGCAGCCAGCCAGCGGCTCCTGAAGCACGCAGAGAAAAAAGTTTGTCGGTAAATGCCCAAATTTGGTGGCCTCTGCATTCTAATGCAACTTTTCCATCATATACACAGTGATCTTAATCATGTCGTATTTGAAAGAGACTGCCTATCCGATGGTTTACATGTAGTGAATTATTACACAGCAGAATAAGGCCCCTGCGTTTTAGCTCACACAGTCTGTAAATAGGTATTAATATATAAAATTCTTGATTGTTTAAAACTTTTGTAATTAATATTCATTATACTTTATTACATTTTTTTTTAAATGTATTGTCACCTTCCCTGTGAGGTTCATCAAGACATGCCACAATGATGGTTAGTGTATTGTTTTACTTGAAACATAGACGCACTTTTAATCAACGGAAATAAACGAGGTCAATTTAAGGGAGACATGTTTTATATCCCATGTCTTCTCTAGCCTATGTATTAATAAAATAAAACTGTACCAAAAATAACTCTTAAATAACAAACCAAGTGAATCACTTGACTTAAACCACATGGATCGACTGGTTCTCAACTTCTAAAAGCACAATATAGATAAAGATAATTTTTAAAAAATGAACTCATTCTTTCATTAACATCTGTGCAGCATTAATGAAAAAATGCGCCGCTTTCAATTAACTGTTTAATGCTTCCTGCGCAATCATCAAGCTGCTGCCGCCGGTGTTTCTGGGTGTTTTCTTAAGAAGCCTTTCTAACGAGGATGTCACCTGTCAATGGAATTCTTAATGCGTTTTGTCATCAATTATTTTGCTGATAATTGTCAAACACTGAAGACTCTCCGCCCTTGGCAGGATACAACCTCTCGCTCAATCACACTCTCACACGCACGCACACGCACGCACGCAGACACGCACACGCACGTACATAGAGCAAGTGGGGCGGGACGGATACAGATAGATAGGCACGTTTTTATTCATCATCATGCTCCTATTGTTTTGAAGCAGATGCGAGTGGTTATAAAATATACACGCATGGCGAATTATAACAATTTAATTAGAATCTAAAATAAATAGTAAAGTAGCCGGCTATTCGGCTGGCAGATGGCGCTTATGAAAAGCTCCGTATAGGCCTCCAGTATATATTAATTGAGTCACAGCTTTAACAGGTGAACCTCCATCTGGAAGAATAGGCTTACAGTTTTTCCTGCATGCCTGCAACGTGTGTTACCTACACACACATTCACCAGACTAGATCAACACACGCGCACGTCTCTTAAAATTGTCACAAAATGTGATTAGATAGCCAAAGTTATCTGCTGCTCTTCATTTCCTTCTATAGACTGATATAGTATATAAATATATAGTTTAGTTGTAATAAATCAGTAACAGGACTTTCAGACATGTTAGCATTTCTGTCCGAGATTAAAATAACAGCTGCCCCTCGTTAATTTACTAAATTAGGAAGGAGTATCAATAAAAGTGTCAAACTCCAAAAGATGCTCATCCCTACATGTTATTCTGCTTATTCTTATAAAATTGAGAAGAAGGCACCTCAATCATACCAAACTGTGCTTTAAATATCACTGTGCATAATTGCCTTCTACATAATAATACATTTTAATAATAATAGCATCATATCAACTAGCAATCGAAAGTAAACCGTTTACCATCTGTATAATGTTTGCCTTCCGTCAGAGGAGCAGGCAACAGGCTTTTTCCTCTGCATAATTCATCAGTTTTTAAATGTTAATAAATTTCTATTACATGACTGGACAATAGATGTAATTAGTGATATTCTCGTCCCTGTGAACATAAAACTGACATCTGGATATTGAAAGCCGCCCATATCCAAGAATTCTCCCAGCAAGTGTGAAAAAAAATAATGAGCAGTCGAGGAGGAGCAGGAAACGAGGCAGATAAATAAATATCACCTGCCTGGGGGAAAGGCAAGAGAAGTCAATCATATCTGATCATCAAAGGCTGGCGTCAATCATGTCATAACGGGAAAAAATTATAAAAAATAGTCTCAACGTCATCTGGATATTTAAGGAAATATACATGAAAACATAGACATGTATCATTGACACGAGTTTCATTGATATTTCTTTACCTCACTATTAATAAGCTTTTTTTATTTTTTATTATGATTCTTATTGATAAGATTGTGCAGATGTAAGACAAAACAAATCAAATATTTTCATCTTAAATGAAATCTCTTATTCAGTGTTTAGTTATACTTAGCATTTATTTCTGGATGCAAAAAAACAAGATGGCGACGGCCAAAATGCTGAACTCGAGGCTTCAAAACAGCAGTCCACAAACCAATGGGTGATGTCACACTGACGTTCACTTATATACAGTTTATGATTTTAGCATTCAAATGTTCGGCAATCGTTAGTAAAGCACTTTGAAGTGCATTTTGATTTGAAAGTTTCGGTACAAATTAAGTTTGATTAACATTTTCAACTTCTGAGTAAACCGTAACATTTTCTTTTTAATCAAGAAATCCTAGAAATCAACCATAATGGAATAATTCTATTATTTTACTGATTTATTTTGACTGTATTTCAGTTATTTTGGAGTTTGGGGCTAATGGCTTCATATGCAGAATTGTAGTGTTGCTCCAAAGCATTTAAATTCACACAGGGACTAATGTGACCATCAGTCAAATAAAGATAAATGGCCTCTCTAGAACCTGGTACTATTTCACATGCATGGTGTGTAGTCAGGATACCTGTTTCATGTAGGCATAGCACATGGTCTCAGCTACACGTTTCCCCTCATCGTAGCAGGCACGAGGACCAATTGGATTCACGTGCCCCCAGTACTCCTCATTCTGTGGGTGTACCTCTGGATCTGGAACACAAACATTTGGGACACATGTAAAGGGATCTGGATCTGGAATTGCATGCTTTCCAAAGAGAGCCAGGTGTGGCAGACAGCTGGGCGCGTAAAAGGTTTTAGCACCTAAAAATGATTAAGAAATGGTTTGTTGGCCGTGCTTGTAAAAGGTTTTAGCACATGATGAAGTGTCAGCGTTTTCAAAACTCAAAGGGGAAATAATAAAGATCCATGAGACGTTTTTAATCTAAAAAATATGTCTCGGGATGTGGTTGTTGCAGCAACTTCACATCCATCAAGTATCTTGCCTTAAGACGCCCTTTAGGTTAACCATTTACACAAAGTAATAATTATATCTAATATCTAACGACGAGTGCATCTTCCTTACCTCCATAAACCTCAGAAGTAGAAGCCAGGAGTAGTCTGGCGCCCACGCGTTTGGCCAAACCTTGGAGACAAACAGAACAGTGAGAACAGTGAGAACACTTGCTACACAGTTCTCCTCTTCGCTGCCACTTCCAGCAGCAAGCTGCTGAGTCGGGCGCCTTTCAGCTCAAAGATAGCAAACTTCAAATGGGGAAAAAAAAGACAGTTTATTACTTTATCCTTGTAATATTATCATATATTAGCTTTTTCTCAAAGCGTTACAACCTCTCAAAGAACATGGATATGTGGGATATGTTTTGAATGTGCATTAAGTTTTGAAGCAGCAGCATGAGCAGACATCTTAATGAAAAACACGTGAGCTTAGTTATAACAGCTCATGTGTGTGATAGATAGATAGACAGATAGATAGATATATATAGTGTAAGCTGCTATAAGTCCAGAGGTATACAAATTATTCAAAATAAATCAATGTATCATTGAGGTGAACAGGTTCCACGTTCACATTAAAAGAGCTTATTTCCTCAAACAAAAGACACAAAAGGGGATGGAAGAGTAATTCATGCCTACATGTGTGTTGCAGAGATAATTGCAATAATTTGAAAGCAATATAGAATACCTGAGAGCCTTACCGCATTATATTTTTATATTTCTTATTTTGCGTTTTACTTTACAGAAATAAACCACCATAAACTGGTGCATAGAAATTCATCAGAATGAAGAAAGCGACTCCCCACTAAACATCCGTCTCATCCAAACACGTTCAAAGTGGCTTTCTGATTGGCATCTGTTTGTGATCGATAATGAGAACCGAGTAAAGGTTCTAACTGTTGCATTTGATAGACAGTCGTATACATCATTTATTTTCACACAGCATTTTTGCACCCTGGGAAACTAAGAATATTGATATTTCAACTGTCCATTTTAATGAAATCTGTTATTTGGCATTTAAATACATGCTACACAGCTACAGTGGGTACGGAAAGTATTCAGACCCCTTTAAATTTTTCACTCTGTTTCATTGCAGCCATTTGCTAAAATCAAAAAAGTTCATTTTATTTCTCATTAATGTACACTCAGCACCCCATCTTGACAGAAAAAAACA